ATGTGGCTTGCTCGGTTTGCGACGGGTCGATTCGGGAATTGGTTCGGGGCTCGGCTTTACCTACTGCTAGGCGTTCTGCAGTTTCAGTAGCGACTGCTCGGGCTCGGTATCTCTCTTGTGTCGATCGTTCACTGTTGGCTGAGCTCGTTTTGGTTCACTAGGGAAGGGCTTCGTTGTGTGTTTATGTTTGGTTTCTGTTATTCGTGTTTTGTTGTTTTGGTTGTTTGTTTTTTGTGTCTGTTCGAGTGTTTTAGGTTTGGGCCGTTGGCCCCGGTTTACCGGAGTGTAACTTTATTATCCTGTTGGGATCACACTCGGGTATTCTCCTGTTGGGAGTTGTATTTTTGTTGTGGTTAGTTGTTTGTTTTAGTGTCGTTGTGTGGTTGTCTTTCTAGCGTTTGCTAGTTGTGTTTCGTCTAGGTTGCATTGGGTGTTTGTAACCTCTCATTTTCCCGGCTTCCGGGCTTGCCATTGTATATTGCCTTTTGGCGTTGTTTTAATAAAATCGTTTATGTCGTTGGAAAAAAAAAATACAAAAAGATTGAAATGATAAATTACAACCCCAACAAACATATATGAAAACTGAGTCTCTAATGAAAAAAAATAAACACTAATAACTAAATAAGGACCTAATGTATATTATAGATATATTAGTTCTTTTATTTATTCATGTTAGATAATTCGAGAGTGATTTTCATCTATTTTTGTTTCGACGTTCTCACAAAATACATTCTAACCTATTGGAGCTCAATATATCAAAGCAAACCTTCTCCCAGTCAAAACCATCTTTGCCCATAGGGGGTAAAAAAAATGATCTCTTAAAGGCAAAGATGCTGATGTTATATGCCCAAGTCGTCTTAGTAGGGTAGTTAACTCGGATATCATAGTTCAGGAGACGACCATTGTAACGCCCCGTTGTTTCAAAAAGAAAATTTTCGAGTTTTCAAAAACAGGAATAAATTTTTCAAAAATCATTATCCAATTTAAAAAACCATTTACCGGGCATTACACACTGTAACACTCTATTGTTTTAAAACGAAAATGCCCGAGTTTTCAAAAATAGGAATAAATTTTTCGAAAATCATTATCCAATTTAAAACCATTTACCGGCCATTACTCAAAATCAAAACTCATTTTCACTAAGCTTAAGACACCACTTACGCCCTTGGGGAAAAACCATCCCAAAATCACACAACCATATATGATCAAAACGAGACATAACATAATATAGTCAATAATAAGTCTCAAGTCAAAATCATAACAAAACCAATTCACAACCAGTTCAACAGTCTCCAAAACCAATCACACAAGTTATCGCAAAACAAACATATCAAACGGAAGCAGTTCAACATAGCATAAAATAAATAAAAGACCACACTCGTCCCTCATTTTCCACAACAATCAGATCAACCTAAAAAAGATAGAAATAATGGGGGTGAGCAAACAACAAGCTAACCGTGGGAATTACCATGCAATATATTCAATATAATAACTGAAATCATAATCGATGCATGAACCAAAATCACCACATCTACCTCCTATACGACACTACACTCATGCGTACACACCTTTACCATCGGCATAACCCATTGACGGGAGCCAAACCACCGGCATAACCCATCGGCGGGAGAAACTCTCATTAGGCACATAATAGGAAAACCACCTGCATAAACCATCGGCAGAAGATCCTCTCATAGACTAGCGGTTCACATGCATACATAGATTATAAAAACAAGCGATTCTAGAGAATAAAAGAACGGTAAAGTTTATCAACACCCACCTGTTCGGAAGGACGGGCTACAGCACACAAATAGCTCGGTAGGATTTTTAGGCTCGACTTCTTAGGAACCTACATTTAATCAAGATAATTTTTCATTAATAAATTATCTCGATACTCGAAAAATAAACGGAAACTGTCACTTACTCACAAAATTAGTGATTAAGGAGTTGAACAAATTTTAGTGAAGTTTGGGACTCTCGGATTTTGGAAAAACTCAAAAAATTATTATAAAAAGGCTAAAAATGAGTTTGGCACAAAAAACGAGGTTTCGGCTAAAAAATAGGATCACCAACTCAAGGACAGGGTTCGAGTTCGCACGGACTGGCACGAGCGCGGGCAAACCTCGCTGGCACGGTTGGGCTCGCATAGGAGTGTTGGCTGGCCACAGGCTGGCTGTTGTGGCTCGCTGGAGGGGCGCTGGGGATCGTCTGGGCGCTGCTGAGGGTTGCGGGCACGACAATGGGCACAGAGGCGCGCACATGGTAGGGCACATCTATTGGGCGCGGAGGTGCGTGTTGCTGGAACTCAGGCGACGTTGTGGGCACATTGAGAGGTCATGCGGGCGCTGCGGGAAACCTTAGGGATGCGGGCGATGCTGCTGGAGTCGCTGGTAAGGCATTTGGGGCGCTCAGCAACTGGGAAGCACGCCGCTGTGGCATGGCTTGCGGGCGACGAGGTGCAAGCACTGCGGGTGTCTGCGGCATGCTGCGGGCGATGCTGCGCGTCCGCTGCAACCCCGCTACACCCTCCGCAGCACATCGCGCGGTTGTTGCTGCCTGCGGCCCAGCCTGCGTACAGGGCTGCGGCCGGCGCTCACGACTGCGGCCTGGGAGCTTTCCCGACGGGTTTAAACGGTCAAGGCTTGGGAGTTTTGGACGAAAATTTACTAGAGTCAAAGGCACACAACAAGGGTTCAATGCATGGTTTTAAGGCTCCAAAACTCAACCCTAGGTTTTTACAAAATTTTTCAAAAATAAGGTGATGGAGACGAGACCGCGATTGTATTCTTGGATAAATTTGACTGGCTTCGTATTTAGTTTATTTATTTCCTAGTATTATTTAGCCTTTTATTTTATTCCCTTAGTATTTGATTATTATTGATAACTAAATAATAATTATCTAGCCTATTTGTTAGGCAAGATAAGTAGCAATAGGGGGAAGTAGGATTCTTATATATTTGGCCTTCATCTGTTCGAGAGAGGGGGAGGTTTTATTCATAAGATTATCGATATTCACGTGATTTTATATCTCGTACCCTTTTGTCTACCACGCTCTACATCAGTTGGTATCAGCAGTCGGGACGATTCAAGATGCCGCCAAAACGAAACGATAACGAACGACGGGATGCCCATCTCGAAGATTTGGATCGTCGAACCGATGATCTAGGGTTCCAAATCGAGCGAGTGGATCGTCGTGTTGAAGGTCTTTCTGAGGGGATCGACGAAATCCGACTTGCCATCCGAACCATGATGAACGGCGAGCAGATGAACTGCGACACCACAGGCCGGGGTGGTCCCGGCGGATTTCGCGGAGGCCGTGGCGGGAGAGGGCCGTTCGGGGCCCCCCGGACACGTTCGCCACGATCGACGCACGGCCTGGATGACGGCGAGGACACCCTATCGGACACCAACCCCTTCGGCGTCCGACGGGAGCAACGGGAAGATGACCATGGCGAGCAATGTTCGGTACACCGGGACAACGAGGGCTGGGACGTCCCTCGCAGACAGCGTCGCGCTGGCGAAGGCGGCGACAACCGCTGGGAGTCGAGCTTTCGGATAGAGGTGCCGGAGTTTTCGGGCGGGCTCGACGCCGGGGAGTTTCTCGATTGGCTCGCTGTTGTGGAGTCGATTCTCGACTTCAAGGAGGTCCCCGATGATCAGCGGGTGGCTTTGATCGCGACTCGTTTGAGGGGTAGGGCTGCCGTCTGGTTCACACAGTTTAAGGGGGCGCGGCATCGCATGGGCAAACCAAAGATTACTTCTTGGGCGAAATTCCGTAAGCATCTCGAACGCGAATTTTTGCCGTTTAATTATACCCGCACTATTTATCAAAAATTCCAGAATATACGACAAGGGTCGCGCTCGGTTGACGAGTACACTGAAGAATTTTATCGGCTTCTTACACGTATTGATATTCGTGAGACCATGGATCAGCTTGTGTCTCGTTATGTGGGTGGTTTGCGGATTTTGATTCAGGACAAGTTGAACTTATTTGTTCCGGACACGGTGTCTGATGCTCATCAACGTGCGGTCATGGTTGAACAACAACAGGCACGGTGCACATCCTTGAATTCTTTTCCGATGGCACGAGGTGGAACGGGTACAGGAGCTGAGAGTTCGGGGTTGTCTGCGAACCGCGGGTAGGAGCCGGGTCGAGTGCAGCTTCAGCGTCCACGGGCCAGAGCGTGGGCTGGACTGGTTGTTCGGGCCTGGGCAGTGCGACAGCCTCTGCGGGAGTTCCGGCGGGCCAGCGTACGGGCAGCGGGCCACGTTGTTTTGGATGCGGTGATTTCGACCACCGGCAAGCGGCATGTCCACGAGTGGCGGGGTCACGTGCTTTATTTGCTGAGGAGATGGAAGCTTTTTCGGCGGCAGAGGTTTATGACGGGCCTCCTATCTTTGAGGAAGAGCTGATATTGGTCGAGGAACATCTTACCGGCGATGTCAGGATAGCCCTTGTTCTTCGTCGGTCGTGTTTAGCGCCTCGGGACTCGACCAACGAACCGGTGGAGCGGCACCATATTTTCGAGTCAACATGTACCGTGGGGGATCGCGTGTGCCGATTCATTATCGATTCTGGATCGTGTGAGAATGTCTTTGCAAAGGAGGCAGTGGGAAAGCTTAGCCTTTCAACGGAACCTCATCCACAGCCATATACTCTTGCCTGCATCCAGAAAGGCACGGCGGTCGCGGTGGACTGTCGCGTTTTGGTTTCTTTCTCCATTGGGCCGAAGTATCGGGATCAAACTTGGTGCGATGTGGTGCCGATGGATGCTTGCCATTTGTTATTGGGCCGTCCGTGGCAGTTCGATCGTGCCGCTACGTATGACGGTCGCCTTAATACCTACAGTTTCCTTTTTGTGGGTGTTAAGATCGTTTTGCATCCAGGGCCGCCACGACCTTTGTCGGGTCCGTCTTCGTCATCTGTCCTTTTTCTTTCGCGTGGTGCCTTTGAGGATGACACTTTTAGCTTGTCAGTAGAGAAATATCCCAATAATAGCATGTTCGGTCGTCGTGAAATTGTGCATGGCAAGCCAGGTAAATACATATGGGTAACTTACAAAGAAGTTTCTGACATTGTGCTGCAAATTGGTAATTCCATTCGCAGCTGTGGAGTTGCGGACAGAGGACGGTGTGAAATTTATGGTGCTAATTCTCCTGAGCGGGTTATAAGTATGGAGGCTTGTAATGCTCATGAACTCTATTGTGCTCCTTTATTTGACATTTTGGGTGCTGGAGCAGTAGCATACTTCACGTGCCATGCAGAATCTACACTTGATTTTGTGGGACAAAAAATAATCTTTGATCTGCCAAATCCTTTCCTTGGGGATATTGGTGAATGGTAGCCTGAGGGGAGCTTGAAGTTTGTTGATTTCAGAAGGACTAATTTTAAACACCCAGGAGAAGAATATGTTGAAGTGGAAAATTTCGAGAAAGTCTATGATATTGTCTCGATATGGGTATACGGGAACAATTGGGAGGCCTTTCTTGTTGCTATTATTAATCCAACCAAACAAGCAGTGGAGCAATGGGAAGCACAGAATTTCCTTGTTGCTATTATTAATCCGAACATCCAAGCAGTGGAGCAATGGGCAGCACAAATTGGTGTGTCTGGGGACTGCAATGCCCTCTGTGACAATGCCAAATTGAGGAAATATTTTATTGGGGAGCTCACAAGGATTGCAAAAGAAAAGAAGTTGAAAGATTTTGAATTTATTAAAGTTGTACACATGGAGACGAGAGCATTTCGAATTCGCGGCCGAATTCTTCTCAACCGGGGGAGAATGATGGAGACGAGACCGCGATTGTATTCTTGGATAAATTTGACCGGCTTCGTATTTAGTTTATTTATTTCCTAGTATTATTTAGCCTTTTATTTTATTCCCTTAGTATTTGATTATTATTGATAACTAAATAACAATTATCTAGCCTATTTGTTAGGCAAGATAAGTAGCAATAGGGGGAAGTAGGATTCTTATATATTTGGCCTTCATCTGTTCGAGAGAGGGGGAGGTTTTATTCATAAGATTATCGATATTCACGTGATTTTATATCTCGTATCCTTTTGTCTACCACGCTCTACATCATAAAGGCTTAAAGAGGTTTCAACCTTCTCAACAATTTTCAAATAAAACAAGCCAACCAAAACTCATCAAATAGGGGTATAAAAGAGTTCCAGAATTCCCACTAAATTCCAAAATTCGAACCAAAGCCCCAAGATCCAATCATTTTCTCATCAAAGGCAATGGATGTTAACTCTTTAGACATAGATCTACAACCAACAACATAGATCTATATAAAAATGAGGAGAACAAGATTATTACCTTGCTTCTGGAATCTACAAGCAAGGTGTACGACGGGATCGGATTTTGGGCACCAAATACAGCCTCAAACGGCTAGTGCGCGGCCTCAGCTTGGCGCGAGCGGCGAGAGGGAGAGACCTGCGGCTGGGGACCAGAAGTCTCACATAGGAAGGGCATCCCTGGGGCCAAAGTGCATGGCCTAGGGGATCTGTTTGCTGACAGAAGACTGCACGCGGTGTGGCTTGCGTGAGGTGTGCATGCAGGGCTGCGACGCAGAGGTGCAGTGGGCGGGTGGAAGCGCTGCTTGCCGTGCGGCCGAGAGAGAGGAAATGCAAGGGGATTTTATGAGAGAGAAAATTTGGGGAACACAAGGATCTAAATGGCTGCAAAAATAACGTGTGCAAAGGGGAGGGGGAGGAGTCTTTTACTTATGCAGTGTTTGGTTTAAGGGAAACGGAGGGGAGGGGAAGGGAGGTGAGGGAAATATTTAATATTCTCTTGTTTGGTTCAATTTTTTGGAGGGGAAGAGATTATGATTTTTCCTTCAAATCTCTTTTCGAAGGAAAAATACTCTCCCCTCCAAAAGTGGGGGAATTTGGAGGGAAGGAAAAATTTTTAACAACAAATTACTTTTTTGACCTTACTATATAAATTATATTTTTTTTGTTTCTTATAGCATTAAGGGTATAAATGTCATTTCAACAATTTTTTCTTTCCCTTCCATTTTTCTAACCAAACAAGGTTTACTATTTTTCCTCCATCACCTTCTACAAAATCCCTCCAAACAAGGTAAAATTATTTTATATCACCTCCCCTCCCCTCACCTCCATTCCATTAAAATCTCTCCCCTCCCTTTCCCTTACTTGAACCAAACATAACCTTAAGGAAAAATGAAGGCATCAAATGAGGATAGAACATGCCATACTTAAAACATATAATTGGCACATTTAAGGGATCCCATGGCTGGTTACAAGGCTCTGGAGGGCTGAAAATTACTTGCCAAAAATAAGGCCCTCAATATTTGAATTTCAAATTTTAAGGAGTGCCAAAAGCTAGGGTTTGGGTTGGTTTTTCCCTAAGTCCATACGATAACTCACGAAAAATGAATGGGACACTACAGCCATGACGGCGAGAGGGAGCTTGCCTTAAATCCAAACTTTTATCGACCTTTATGACTCCTTTCTTAGCCGCCGTGTTGGAGCCAGCTACGACGGAGAGAGGCAAAAAACTTTCTTCTCCATGTCACCACATTTTCTAATATTTTTATCTCTCTTTAGTTCGAATTTTAGCCTTGCATCATCAACCTTTCATTTTTTTTAACTTTTTTTCTCTTTTTTTATTTCAAATTTTCATGTATGCTATACATTTTATGAAGAAATGGAAGGAGGAAGAGGATATCTCTTTTTACTTTTAAACTTGACTTCAATTTATAAATATACTAGCATACTCTTGCCGTGCAAAGCACGGCCGGCCCACGGTTCAACCTAGAATATTATTTTATAATTAGAAAATGATCAAAAGGTAATATAGAAACCACAAATAGATTGTCACCTATTATAAACACATCAATTAGAGTGTACACCCATAAATAAATCAAATTCTTAAATCAACTTAATTAAAAAAGGGTTATGAAAAACTTGTCAGTGTTTTTATAGGTTCCTTTAACGATGAGCTTTGCAACATTATTTTTGTTTTCAATGTACCTGCATTTGAGGTTTTTGTATGTCCATATAAAGACTAAGCTTATTGCGTACCACTGTTTCAACTACGACAGGTATAAGTGAATTCACCATTAAGCAAGTACGAACTTTAGTCGACAACGACAATCCTTCATGAGTTAAATTAGTGAAATTGCTGCTATTTATGTAATATGTACTAAAAATATTTAATTTATATCTCACCATGGAGTTCTTTAAATATTTCGAGTTAAATTAGTAAATAAGAACAAATTTGATAGAATAATGAGAAGAAAGTGTGACAAACACATATAATAGTAGATAACCAGTTTAATAAATACATTAAGTGAAGTGGTTGCGAGGAACAGTATACACAAACTTGATAACATCAAACAAAAGTGGATTTTTCTGTAATTATGTCTTCTAGAATCCAAAGTCCCTTCAACACCAGTCCATAACTTAAAAAGCGACTTTAACCTACAAAACAGTCAGTAAATTTAATCCTTCATTATAAGCGAAGCACATAAAATGATTAGATTATGTCATGAATTTAGTACCAAAAAAGGATGGAAAAATGGAACAGGAAACCTAACATATGCATAGAGTTTATAAGAATGTTGTGCATGAGCCTTTAATATCCACCTTTTATTTTTTTTCATGTAGGAAACATTTATTTTTCTTTATATTCTAGCAGAATGAAACAGAGAAATATTTGAGATATCGGAAAAAGCAGAAATATGAAATATATAAGCGAAGTTTTGAGAATAAAAGACAAAATGACAAAAATAAAAATAATTACACTGCTCAATAACACATTAATTTATTCAATTTTAACTGCCCAAGTGAAAAGAACAATATTTGAGTGTCCAAAATAAACTCTAAAAGAGGCCTGACATCAATTACTGAGTAACTAAACAACCCATTTCATATACTGACTTAGTGAGTTATGAAAATATTCTAATTCATTAATATTCTCAAATATAACACATAGACAATGAAAGAAATACTACCTGATATCAACCTAGATATGGAGAACTATGAATAATGACAATTTGCGTACTTGATGGCTATATATAGTCCATTCTATCCAATTAGCATGCATTCGTTTGAAAGATTATGCGCAGGAAATTCGTCTACCCCTTTAAAATCCACCAAACCAACAAAATTTATCACTAAGTGAAATTAATATTAGTAAAAAAAACACAATAGAGTTTTAAAAAAAAAAAATCCTGCAAGAAGATATGAAAAGATTTGAAAGTCATATTGACAATTATTACTTTGACTGAAATATCTTATGAAATGAATGTTGCAGCCACAAGACAAAAGAGGAAAAAAAATTGAGATTTCAATGTCATACTTACAATTATGATTTCCACTACATAGCTCATAAAATAAATGCTACAGCTAAACCATAAAAATTTGATAAAATATAAAATAGAAAAGCACCAAAAACCAACAAAAAAATCAAGCCAATAGAAAAGCACCAAAAACCAACAAAAAAATCAAGCCAAATCCGAGAAATGAAAGGCAAAAAAAAACCCACATCATCACATTGAACAGGAAAAAATATCTTATAATCTTATATTGGAAACAAATAGAAAACCTAACTAAAGAAATTTATGACCTTTTGGTAGAATATCATGAAATCAAAGAGGAAAAAAAAAACCAACAACAAAGTACTTATCTTGATGCTCGCTTAAGCTTGATATGAGGCAGAAAGTGAAATATCACCACCTTTAATACAAAGAGAAATTAACATAAGAATAAAAGGCATAGGGTAAAGAACATGCAATTTCTTGCTGAATTGGAAACAGATTCAATCTAAAAAAGCCTAAATTTACCTTATAGAGGCACCAAAATGAAGCGACGCTCCAGACCTGCGAAAATACAGTGGCAGTTAAACCTTAGAATTCTCGAACAGGAATTTAGAATATCAACATATTGTAACAAGTACAAAGACTCATGAAAATGAAAAGATGAATATAAAAAAGACAAAAAAAAAAGACTTTACCTATTTTATCACCTCAAGTCAAATAGGTTCCTGAAAACTACAGAACTCTTCAACCGAAATGCCGAATCGGACGCTCTATCAAAGCCGCCGACAATAGTAGCCAACAAAAGTCAGTACATCAACTTTGATTATCAACATAAACAGGAAATGAGCACAAATGAAAAAAAGGAAAAAATAAAATGGAAATATATCTTGGACAAAAACTCACCCTTCACAAACTTGTAATTGCTACCGGCATTAGCTTTCAATATGACACGCTCATCGGCCCAAAATATATGCCATTTGGAGTTTGTACCAATGACCTGTCCTGTTGTAAGGGGATTCACAGATCTTTTTGCACCAGAAACAAAATTCAGTGTCCATAAGTCATCCAATTGAGACTAAATACGAAAGCCAACAAAAGCACTATAATACTTCAATATGCATTAGCTTACTCCTATCAAGTTAATCAGCAAACCACCGCATAAAGCGATGGCAAAGAAACATCTCATTCTTTGATGCAAGACTCTAATATCTTATCAATATATTTGGCCAAATTGCTGCTAAGTACATCAACATTCTCGAAAAGCCGCAACTCTTCTACATCCATCTTATACCCAAAAAGAATCGTGCTTCTCATAAGGACTATACATTAAATTTAAAAGTAACACACACCAAATAAATTATTATCTTTATGTGGCGATCCCAGCTGAGTTCATTGCCAGTGGAAGCTCCCCTTCGGCCTCATCACCCATCAAGTTTTCTCCAAGGCGCTGCTCGTCACATGTGCCTCCCCGATAGCTCTCAAATAGCCCTAGGTTAAATTGAATGCTCCCTTTACACGACCGGTTAGAGCTTCAATCAACAACATAGGGAATTTCACTTAATAGCAGGAAAATAAAAGGAAAATTAAGTATGAACAAATGCTGAATAATAGATAATGTGTGAAAGAGTCAAAATCTTCCCGAGAAATGAAGACACGAAGTCTTCTCGCTCAGATTGTCTTCCATTTTGACACCCTCATGCGTGCCAATAGCAACAATAGTTCTTTTCCTGCAGTAATATAAAAACAAAATTTAAAAGGCTAAAATCAATAACACAAAACCATAAAAATACAGAAATACCATGTTTTAAGCATCATAGGTTTCTGATATACTATCTAGAGTATCACTTAGTAACGATGATAACTTTATCAAGACAATATCCATCGCCAAATTCTCTATCTTTGTTCATCCTCACGTTGGCTGTCATGTACTTCATCTGAACCTCTTCATCCCGACGCTACCTCTCCGCCACCAAGGGCGTCGTCGCGTCAATGTCTTCGGTCTGGATTTAATATGGCCACTTGGAGTCTGTCGCGCGCTGCACCGTGTCCCCCTCGTCACCTGCCAAACAAAAATACAAAAACACCAAAATGAGAACCATAGGAAAAAATATTTCAACTTCTAGATTAGTTTAAAAGTAAAATGACCGAAAACATAAGAACTCACCTCGCACGAACCATACAACTAAACAGTGGCAAGAAATTTTTAAGAAA